TTCATGAGGCCAGCTTTACTACACCATGAGAAAAGAAATCTCTTTAAAAAAATATTTTACAAATATGTAATTTTTAAGAAGATGTTATTAAGTAAATCTAGCAATAGGTAAAAAGGATGATACATCATGACCAAGTGGGATTCATCCTAGGAATGCAAGGTTAAGATTCCAAAAGAAATACAGTTCACAATATTAACTGAAAAAGAAAAATCATAAGATGATGTCACTATAAAGAAAGAGTTTGAAAAATTTAACACCTATTGATTAAATTAAAAACGAGGGAGGGAACTTCCTTAATCCGATAAAGGACAGGTATGAAAAACCTAGAGGAACATAGTACTTTATGGGTTCCGGTTCAAGACAGTGCGGTAGGAAGATCCTGCTCACCTCCTCCTAAGGACACAGTGAGTCTACAGCTACATATAGAACACTATCCTCTTAAAAAAAAAAAAACCTAAGGGCTGGCTGAGTGATGAATACAAATGGTGCAAAGAGAAGAAAACCACATCAAAGCAGGGAGGAGAGGCTGGGACACAATCTGGTCATAAACCCCACCACCACTTTGGTGACCCTCAAGTGTGAGGGAACTCAAAACCTAGAGCTTCTTCCTGTGAAGCAAACAGTTCAAATCCTACATGAGGAACTCTGACTTTTAAGATCTGCACCAGAGAGATGAGCCCTTGATACACAGAACTTTGAAAATCAATGGGGGATTGTGTCCTGAGACCCACAGATCTGGTGACCTGAGAAATGGCTCTTTAGAAAAGGCTCTTGTGCTTGGATTCATCCACCCCAGGGCCCAGCACAGAGGCAGTCGATGGCGCCCAGACTTCAAGTGAAGGAGGCTCACCTACTTATATCAAAGCACTGTCCTGATGGACAGGCACCTAATTGAGCACACACATCTAGGAGCCTGCTGGAACTCTCTGGGAATGGAGATTGATAGACACCACCTCTGCATTCTCCCTATACGGTGCTCCAGAGCACCAGCATCTCCCAGGATGGAACTTTTATATGCATCTGGTGCCCTAATTTTTACAGGTGCCACACAGGGGATCCCTCCTGATCACATGGCTCTGCAGACCAGAGAAGCTTGCGTTCCTGGTCCCATGGGGATGTAAGAACTGGTGCCACCCAGAAGGGAGCTCACACCATTGCTGGCCCACCAAACTGTGCGGCTGCTGCCTGGGTCACCTCACATCTCCGGGCCCAGGTGTGGTGCGGCTTAAACCCATGGGTCCCACAGGACTGTCACCACCAAAGATTTCTTAAACAGTCACCACCCCTAAGGCACAGCATGAGGCAACACACCCAGAGCTCAATCCTTCTGTGAAAGAGGCTTATTAGCTAATCATCACGGCTGTGACATGAGAGGCAGGCTCTTCATGAAACACATATCCAAGGCTGACTCTACTCCCTTTCAGAAAGCTCGGGGAGCAGACACGATCTCACGGCCCCTCTGCCATTCTCCAGAGTGCGTGTGTCTCCCAGGGGGGAGTTTTACATGCATCCCATGGCATTCTTCAAAGAGATATGACAAACAATCCTAAAATTTGTATGAAACCACAGAAGATGTCAAATAGCCTAAGCAATCTAGAGGAAGAAAAACGAAGCTGAAGGCATAACACTCCTTTTCTTGAAACTGTATCCCAAAGCTGTAGTAGTCAAAATAATATGATATTGGCATAAAAACAGACTCACAGAGAAATGGAACAGAACAGAGAACCCAGAAATAAACCCACACATATTTGGTCAATTAATTTAAGATAAAGCAGCCAGGAATATACAAAAGGAAAAGAACAGTCTCTTCAATATTATATTGGGTCTGAGCTTTTATTTCCCCGTCTGTGGCTCACCTTTGGGAAAACTGGACAGCCACATGCAAAAGAATGAAACCAAACCACAATCTTACACCATACACAGAAATTAACACTAAATGGAATAAAGATTTAATGTAAGACACAAAATCAAAAAACTCCTTGAAGAAAACATACTCAGTAAGCTGCCTGACACAGAGCTTGGTGAAGATTTTTTTTAATACGACACCAAAAGCGAAGGCAACAAAAACAGAAATAGAGTGGAATTATATCAAACTAAAAAATTTCTGCACAACAAAGGAAACCATCAGCAGAATGAAAAGGCCATGTACTGAATGGGAGAAGGTATCTGCAAATCATATATCTGATAGAGGGTTAATATCCAAAATACATAAGGAACTCATACAACTCAATAGCAAAAAACTGAACAATCCAATTTAAAAATGGGCAGAAGATCTGAACAGATATTTTTCCAAGAAGACTTACAGATAACTAACAGACACATGAAAAGATGCTCAATATCATTAATCATCAGGGAAGTGTAAATCAAAACCACAATGAGATATCACTTCACACCTGTTAGAAGGGCTAGTATCAAAAAGATAAGAAATAATAAATGTTGGTGAGGATACTGAGAAAGGGAACATTTGTGCACTGTTGGTTGGAATGTAAATTAGTGCAGCCACTGGGGAAAACTGTATGGAGTTTCTCAAAAAATTGAAAATACAACTATCATATGATCTAGCAATTCCGCTCCTGGGTATTTATATGAAAAAAACAAGAACACTAACTCAAAAACATACGTGTACCCCATTTTTCTTCGAGGAATTATTTTACAATATTTAAGATATGAAAATAACCTGAGTGTCCATTGATGGATTAATGGTTAAAGAAATCATGATAAAAATACACACCAGAATATTATTCAGCCAGAAAAACAAATGAAATCTTGCCACTTGCAACAAATGGCTGGATCTCGAGGGCATTATGCTAAGTAAAATTAGGCAATCAGAAAAAGACAAATACCATACAATCTCACATATATGTGGAATCTTAAAAACAAAACAAAACAAAATCCCGGCAAACAAACAAAAAACCAAGTTCGTAGATACAAAGAACAGATTGGTGGTTGTCAGTGGTAGTGGATGGGGGTTGGGGAAAATGGGTGAAGGGAGTATTAAATATTTGAAAAATTAAAAAAAAACGAAAGTGATTGGGGAACAAAAAAGAAAAGAAAGCATAACAAAAGAAAACTTTGTAAATGATTGAATGTTTTGCCCTTCAGATTAGGAACAAGACAAAATTGTCCTCTCTCATCATTTATATTCAGTATACATTATATTGCAAGTCTTAACAAGTTTCATAAAGAGAAATAAGTAGCATAAAGACTGGAAAACATCTTTATTCACAGATGACATTATTATATACATAAAACATATGGATTTTCAAAACATGTACTACAAATAATGAGGTTGATAATATTAAGAAATATGATGTTAATACAAATAAATTACTTGTATTTTGACATTTTCCCCAAAATTAGTAATTGAAATTAAAGATATCACTTAAAATATTAAAACCATGAAAGCTATTGATATTTCTAATCATGAAGTGTAAAGTGTAAGTGTAAGATGAAAACAAATAATGGGAAGGAAAACTTAAAAAGCCAAATGGGAAAGGAAAGATCTATAGATTCAGGGCAATCCTGATCATAATCTCAGCAATTTTTAAGGAAAAAAAATGGTAAGTGCTTCTAAAATTTATGTGGAAAGGCAAAGAACAAGTAACTACTAATATAATTTTGAAAAAAAGTTAAGAGTTAGACTCACCTTAACTTATTTCAATAGTTAACAACAGGTATATTAACAAAAAGCGTGTGGTGTTACCATAAAGATAGACAGTAGGTTCAATGAAATAGAATGTATTCCAGAAATAAATACGTGTACATATGGTCAATTTAATTTGGAAAAACTACCAAGGCAATTGAACAGGGGAAGGGTAATTTCTGCGGCAAACAGTGCTGTTGGAGTGGACCATGAGATGCACAAAAGTAGCACAATCGTACTTAACACCATATAGAAAACCTAAGTGTAAAACATAAAACTTAACATAGCAGAGAAAATCTCACTGACCTTTTGTTAGGCAAAGGTGTCTTAAAAAGGAGGGAAAACAGCATAACACATAGAAGAACACAAAATAATATGACAAGATGAAAATCTTTTGTCTTTCAAGAGACACGGTTAAGAAAAAGGTGAGCCACAGATGGGGAAATAAAAGTTCAGAAAACATTTATCTTATAATGGTCACCTCTATTACATAAAGAATTCTTTCAACCCAGTTAAGACCCCCCCCAAAAAAGACAGAAAAAGATGTGAGTTAAAGTTTTGAAGAGATACCTCACAAAAGATATGCAAATAGCCAAAATACACATGAAAAGATGCCCATCATCATTTTTCACCACAGAATTGTAAATTAAAATCCAGTAAGATATAACCTGACACCAACTGAACTGGTTGAAATTATAATACCTAAGGTGTAGGTGAGAATGTGGCTCATGCTGATGGGCATGAAAATATCGTAGTCACTTCAGAAACATTTGGCAGTTACTTATAAAAAGTTACAAATACCTTTACTGTAAGACCCAGGAAAACCGTTCCTATGTCTTTGCACAAGAGAAATGAAAATATGTCTGCACAAAAACTTGTATTGGAATGTTTGTAGAAGCCTTACTCATATAGGACCAAATCTGAAAATGACAGTATCTATTCAAAAGGATACTACTACTATAAAGAATGAACTGACACACAAAACATGCATGAATCTTAAAATAATTATTTTCGGTGAAAGAAGTAAAGGAAAAAGAATATGTGCTGTATGATTCCATTTGTATGAATCTCTAGAAAAGGCAAAACTATTACGACGGAGAGCAGATCAGTAGTTTAAGTGGTGAAAGCAGAAGGAGGGAAATGGCTGGAACAGGAAACAAAATATTTTAGGGTGATGGAAGTAGTCTATATCACGATGTGGGTGGTGAAAATCAACTGAATACATTCCTCAAAACTTATCAAATTATATCTAGAGAACTGCTGCGTCTAATTTTTGGTTAATTACACTCCAATAAAGTGATGAAAAAAAAAGAAAGAAATAGGTTGCATTTGAGAGTCAGACACATAAGGTAAACACCCACGGAGACGAGGTGGCTGTAGATCTCCAGCATCACATCTCTGTACAGAGTCCACTGAGTGGGGCCTATTTTCTGCCATTCTTCCTGGGTGAACTCCACAGTCACATCCTTGAATGACATGGATGCCTGTAATAGCACATTTCTGTTCAATCTGAACAGGGGACATGGAAAATACCTTTGGAACTAATTCTATCATGTTTACTGTAGAGTTTAAAACAACATGTTACAAAGGATGCCTGTCATAGCCTTAACTCTGTCTTCCATTTTGGGGATACATAATGAATACAAATATTCTCATGCCCTCGTTCATTTGCAATTACTTATAAATTATATACATGCACCATCTGTTAACTTGATACTTATAATGTTTAGTGGGATTTTTTGTTTAGATAAAGTTACTAAAAAAAAGATCTTTCTAATATTTTATCCTATACCAATGTTTTATCCTAAGCCTCTCTAGGGTATACAACACTCCCACTCAAAGTCTTCTGCTAGGGTAATGGGGAATCAATGAAGGGGCTAATGTAAGCCTTGGATATATCCACACATAACTACATATTTATTTTAGAAGTGATCTAGGGGAAGAGTGGAGTGTTTTAAGCAGCAAAACAGAAGAGATCAATTTAAGAGCAACCCGCCTATATTAAGGCAAAGCAATGGGAAAGAAACATAGGAAATTAATTCTCCAAGAGAAAGAAACACTGATTTCTTGGTCAGTTCCACAGAGAAGCAGCATAAACAAAGGGGCGCATGCTGATGCTATATACTGAAACTTGAAAAAGAGGTAAAGAGGCTTGGGTAGAGGATCACAGCGAGGCACATCTTGTTTATGTTGTACTCAAAATATGTGAGGACACACAGAAAAGTTATCCACTGCAGAGCTGCTTACGTGATTTTGTAGCATATGAAATCTACAATAAAGATAAGAATTGTAATGGACATTAGTCACTAAGGTGATAACTGAAATCATAATACAGAATCTGCTGGCTCAGACAGGACATATAAATTGAGGGGGGAAAAGATAGAAAACTGAATTTGAGAGAATACCAATATTTACCAGAAGAAGAATAAACCAAGAAGGCAGGGAAAAAGTTTATTATTGGTGGTAAGAGAAAATGGACAAAGTAGACTCAGAGAAATGACCAGGGTCAAATTCAGCAACACTTAGAATCATCAGGATGCTGGGGTGAACAACTGGCAGAGCAATTCATCAAAGAATAATGAGACAATATTGGAGATGCTCGATTTGTGTTTTGAGCAGACTATATGAAGAAAATCTACATCAGGCAGGAGAAATAATTCAGAAGCTATCAGTGTAGATAAGGCAGTCAAATGGAAAAGAGAGCTATTCTGGCATTTGATATTTAAAGACATCAAATTTAGAAATTTCATTTTCTAAGTGTTTCTTGATGACACAGATATAAATTTTTATCTGCACAAATTCCTAATTTTTCATACTGACCTTGTATCTAACATCATTAATTCTAACAGTTTACCTATAGATACATGTAGATTTTCTACATCAGCGATCATATCATCTATAAACACTGGGGAAATTATTTCTTGCTTTCCGATCTTTGAATTTTTTTTTTTTTTTTTTGCCTTATTTCACTGGCTAAGACTTCCAACATTTTTCTTCCCAGGAAAAGTTTTCCTAGTGAACTAATGAATTACAAATCTTTTTTCAAAGTTTTTGATAGATGTAGCTTATAAAAATAAGGAAGATTCTTTCATTCCTAGAATGCTAGAAATTTTAATACTCTTTTTAAAAAGATTTCATTTATTTGAGAGAAAGAGAGAGAGAGAGTGTGTGTGAGTGTGTGAGCAGAGAGAAGAGCAGAGGGAGAAGAATAAGCAGACTCTATGCTGAGCATGGAGCCTGATGCAGGACTCGATCCCATGACCCTGAGATCATGAGCTGACCCCAAATCAACAGTCATATGCTAAACTGACTGAGCCACCCAGTCGCTCTGGAAATTTTAATATTCTAAAATTTATTTCCTACATCCAATAGTATGATCATGCTTTCTCATAAAATTAATGAATTATGTTGATTTTTCAAATTGTTAATTCAAACTAGAATTTCAAATAAATGTATCTTCTTCATTATTTATTAACCACACACACATACAGCTTACTTATCTTGGCTTGAAAATTCATATGGAAAGCTAAAAAAGCATATACAGCCAAAAATGTTTAAGAACAATGATGTTGTATTTGTTGTACTTGATATTCAAACTTTGTAAAGTTTTAATAGATGATGAGCTTGAATGACCATGGAGCAGAAGAGAAAGTTAAAAATGACTAAAATATAGGTGATTTTTGAAGGTGAAAAAGGATGGCATCTTTTATTTCTGGAAAAAATACAAAGTTTCAAAAATGTCATAGGGATAATTAAATAGGAGTGAGGGGTAAGAAAATTAGATCTATACATCATACCATTGAACAAGGTAAAATTAGAATGGACCAAACATATAAATGTAAAAAATAAAATTAATCAAGTTCTAGAACACAACATGGAAAGTTTCTATTACAGTAAGACTGGGAAATGGAGGGTTCTGGTCAAGTTGGTGACATAGAAAGTTCCTGTCTCACCTCCTCCCACAGACACACCAAATCTACAGCTACACATGGAGCAGTTTCCTCAGAAAAAAATCAAGAGAACAGCTGAGCAACTCCTATATATTGAGTGAATAAGAAAATATCCACATCACAATGAATCTTGGTACACCCTCAACTACTGGGAACCACTAAGAACAAAGGAAACAGGTTGGACCATCACAAAGATTTGAGAGACAACCAAGGGTGTGGGCTGGGCTGAATGATAAGGTCCATCTTCCACACTAGGCCACTGTCAAGACTGGAAGAAGTGGCTGTTTTTTCTAATATGCACAAACCAACACAGAAAGAGAAGGAAAATGAAGAAACAGGAATATGGTCCAAATGAAAGAACAAGATAAAACCTCAAAAATGTCCTTAATGAAAAGATTAGTTGACTGTTTTCTTTGCTGTGCAGAAGCTTTTTATCTTGATGAAGTCCCAAAAGTTTATTTTTGCTTTTGTTTCCCTTGCCTTTGGAGACGTGTCTTAAAAGGAGTTGCTGTGGCCGATGTCTAAGAGGTTACTGCCTATGTTCTCCTCTAGGATTTTGATGAATTCCTGTCTCACATTGAGGTCTTTCATCCAATTTGAGCTTATCTTTGTGTGTGGTGTAAGAGAATGGTCCAGTTTCATTCTTCTGCATGTGGCTGTAAAATTTTCCCAGCACCATTTATTGAAGAGACTGTCTTTTTTCCATTGCATATTTTTTCCTGCTTTGTCAAAGATTAGTTGACCATAGAGTTGAGGGTCCATTTCTGGGCTCTCTATTCTTTTTTTTTTTTTTTTTAAGATTATCTATTTATTTATTTGATAGAGAGAGACACAGTGAGAGAGCGGACACAAGTACGGGGAGTGGCAGAGGGAGAAGCAGGCTTCCTGCCGAGCAGGGAGCCCGATGCAGGGCTCATTCCCAGGACCCTGGGATCATGACCTGAGCTTAAGGCAGACGCTTAACAACTGAGCCACCCAGGTGCCCCTGAGCTCTCTATTCTGTTCCATTGGTCTATATGTCTGTTTTTGTGCCAATACCATGCTGTCTTGGTGATCACAGCTTTGTAATAGAGCTTGAAATCAGGTGGCAACGTGATGCCCTAAGCTTTGTTTTTCTTTTTCAACACTCCTTTGGCGATTCAGAGTCTTTTCTGGTTCCATACGAATTTTAGGATTGTTTGTTCCAGCTCTTTGAAAAATGCCAATGGTATTTTAATAGGGATGGCATTGAAAGTGTAGATTGCTCTGGGCAGGATAGACATTTTTTTTTTATTAACATATAATGTATTATGTGTTTTATGGGTACAGGTCTGTGATTCATCAGTCTTACACAATTCACAGCACTCACCATAGCACATACCCTCTCCAATGTCCATCACCCAGCTACCCCATTACTCCCACCCCCCTCCCCCCAGCAACCCTTAGTTTGTTTCCTGAGATTAAGGGTCTCTTATGGTTGTCTCCCTCTCTGATTTCGTCTTGTTTCATTTTTCCCTCCCTTCCCCTATGATTCTCTATCTTGTTTCTCAAATTCCTCCTATCAGTGAGATCATACGATAACCGTCTTTCTCTGATAGACTTATTTCACTTAGCGTAATACCCTCTAGTTCCATCCACATTGTTGCAAATGGCAAGATTTCATTTTTTGATGGCTGCATAATATTCCATCATATATATACACCACATCTTCTTTATCCATTCATCTGTTGATGGACATCTAGGCTGTTTCCATAGTATGGATATTGTGGACAGTGCTGCTATAAACGTTGTGGTGCACATGCCCCTTTGGTTCACTACATTTGTATCTTTGGGGTAAATACCTAGTAGTGCAATTGCTGGGTCATAGGGTAGCTCTATTTTCAACTTTTTGAGGAACCTCCATACTGTTTTCCAGACTGGCTGCACCAGCTTGCATTTCCACAAACAGTGTAGAGGGTTCCCCTTTCTCCACATAGGATAGACATTTTAACAATGTTTATTTTTCTGATCCATGAGCATGGGATGTTTTTCCATCTTTTTGTGTCTTCCTCAATTTCTTTCATAAGTGTTCTATAGTTTCTAGAGTATAGATCCTTTACCTCTTTGGTTAGGTTTATTCCTAGGTATCTTATGTTTTTTGTTGCTATTGCAAATGGAGTCGATTCCTTAATTTCTCTTTCTACAGTTACATTGTTAGTATATAGAAAAGCAACTAATTTCTGTGCATTGATTTTGTATCTTGCCACACTGCTGAATTGCACCAAATGGGAGAAGATATTTGCAAATGATATTACAGATAAAGGGCTGATATTCAAGATCTATAAAGAACTTCTCAAACTCAACACCCAAAAAACAAATAACCCAGTCAAAAAATGGGTGGAAGACATGAACAGACACTTCTCCAAAGAAGACATGCAAATGGCTAACAGACGCATGAAAGAATGCTCAACATCACTAGCCATCAGGAAAATACAAATCAGAACCACAACGAGATACCACCTCAAACCAGTCAGAATGGCTAAAATTAACAAGTCAGGAAACAACAGATGTTCGCAAGGATGTGGAGAAAGGGGAACCCTC